TTAAGAAGGGCACGTACTGCATGGAGCACTGGGTATTATACACAAACAATGAATCATGGAACACATCAAAAACTAATGATCTACTGTGTGGAGACTAACATAATAAAAAAAAAGAAAAAAATAGAAGTGCTCATAAACAAATAGCATAGCTGCCCCACGGTCCAAGTCCTAAAACACTGAGTAAACGTGGTTGCTTACCAGTTCTGGAAGAGGACAAATAGTTCCAGTGTTCATATACAGCCCTTCCACTACAATGAAACGTCGTGTGACCCGAGCCTTGCGAGGATTCTTGTAAAAGGAAAAAAAAAAAAAAAAGACATTTTAAATTTCAGTTAATTCCAAAATGCAAAATCTGTTAGATGCTCCCTAGCACTCCACTTGATAAGATCTATTCATCTGAGTAAGTAAACAAAAAGACAGTATGGGCGAGTTTCAAGTTCATGGTTTCATACCCTGTTATTTTGAGACAAAGAACAGTGCTTTCTTCTCTGATGTTTTTCTCGTTCACACAATCAACGAGGTGACCACACACGCACGCACACAATTTAAGCACTCTGAGAATACTGAAACAAACAAAGCCCTCCAAACCCAGAATGACTGAGAAGGAGCCCAAGGGAAATTTCTGGGGAGACAGGCACATTTTAGGTCGCAACAGGGCCATGATTATCTGGATTATTCACTGGTCAAAATGTATGGCTAGGATTTGTTCACTTCAATGTCTACAAAGTTTACCTAAAACAGAACTGCAATGATGATGGGAATCATCACAGAGATGGGGCAGGGAGTTTAGCCAAGGCTCAGATGACACAAGAATGGCACAATGTTGATAACAAAGCTGGGAAAAGGGCACGGGGGCTTCTTACACTACTGTACTTCCTTTGAAAGTGCCTGAAATTTTCTATGATAAAAAGTTAAACAGACAAACCCTGCTCTCCATCTACCAAACAGCAGATAAAATCTTCTCCTTCCTAACTACTGGGTCAAGTACAACTCAACCATGACCTCATCCAGGCATGTCTGAGGTGGTGGCGGAAGGCCTATTTCAAACAACACATAACCTTCCTGTACCCCACTGATGGCAAGTCACTAATAATAAACCACTCACACTGGTGAATTTGTAGATGCTTCAGGTGTGCAAGGCTGAAAAAATACTGAGATTCTTAGGTAAAGCTGGCACCATCTTCCTACTCAAAAGTTTCTTGCCTCTTAAGCTTCTAATCAGGACATTTCAGAACCACAGCTGTAATGCTCAGAAAAGTGTCTGTTGAAGTATGCAGAAGTCCACGCCACTGTGTTTGCTTGGCCATCTTCACTCTGTTCTTAACTCAAACCTGAATGCCATGGGTTTGCTGGGGGTCACGTGAGGAGAGGTGAGCCTCTCCCTACCTTTCCAAAATGAAGTATTTTTATTATGACTTAAAAATATTCAATGTAGGAATCTTGGGAAATGGGAAAGTACATAAAATTTTTAACAGATTAGCTAGTTACACTACCCGCTGTCTTTCTTGTAAATACGTATCTTTATAAATGACTTTGCTCAAATCAGGATTTTACTGCAACAGTGTTACGACCAGAGTTAAAAAAAAATTATTTTAATTAATAATTACTGAAAACACGATTTCAATGGAGATATACTATTCTACCGGTGGATATACCATATATTAACTATTCCCCCAACGCTGGATGTAGGCTGTTTCCCTCCTTTTGCTTTTTTACGTCACATTGTGACTATCTTTTAATCTTTAACACCACTTGGGACTCTCTTCTAAAGACAGCACCCCAGATACACTACCAGGGTACAGACATGTAAGAATTCTGCAGCCCATTTACCCCCAGTTGGCACTCTCCCCAAAGTTACAGGAGGGCCTGTTTCAGTACACAGATCAGTGCTGGCACTGGTTATTAATGGTGAAAAATGTTCCCTCATCGGACAGGCGAAACCTCCTTGCCTAACTTCACCAATTCTTAGTGAGGCCCGAGTATTTTTCATTTGCTCACATTTATTTGTATTTCTTCCAAGAACTGTTGTTTTTACCTACTGTCCTTTTTTATTTTTTAAAAGATTTTATTTATTGGACAGAAAGAGAGAGAGCACAAGCAGGGGGAGCAGGAGAGGGAGAGGGAGAAGCAGGCTCCCCACTAAGCAGGGAGCCTGATGCAGGCTCGATCCCAGGACGTCAGGATCATGACCTGAGCTGAAGGCAGATGCTTAACCGACTAAGCCACCAGGCACCGCCCTACTGTCCTTTTTTAAAAGAAGAATTAATATGGAACAAGAGAACCTTATATGAAAGAGAATGAAAAAACATCTATGAACTACCTGAAAAATGGACACCAAAAAATTTGTTCCAAATTGGATGAAACCACAATATTTTAATTCACTTTCAAATAAAAGATAAACGTCTAAGTAGAAAATATTCAAAAGCTGGGCATTTAGTATTTATCTGAAAATAAAAACTGAAAAAAAAAAATTATTTCCCAAAACCAAAGTGTATTAAGGTTATTCAGAAAGCTTACCTGTGCCAGAAAAATGTGCTATAATTAGTAAAAAGGTAAAAACTATAAAACGGAAATAAATTTCAAGAGAATTTTATTTCTCATTGTTCATAAAAAAAGTTCCACAGATTATAAATCTTGTAAAACACACACACACACACACACACACACACACACACACACCCCATCTTCCAAATCAGTACAAACTCCCTTGGGAAAATAAACTCTACAGAAGACTGGTTCATTGGTCACATTCTCAAGTCTGCCTTCTCCAACCTGGTAGCATTCTATTACGGACATCTTTTTACAATTTGTCAAAAAGAAATTCATCAGTGGAATGGTCTCAATTTTAAGATTTTCCCAACAGACTTTTCTAAATTATATAACTATGAAACACTGGCCTACAGCACATGCAGCATCAAAGAATGAAAATCTGGGGTGCCTGGGTGGCTCAGTTGGTTAAGCGACTGCCTTCGGCTCAGGTCCATGATCCCAGGGTCCTGGGATCGAGCCCCACATCGGCTCCCTGCTCAGCGGGAAGCCTGCTTCTCCCTCTCCCACTCCCCCTGCTTGTGTTCCCTCTCTCTCTCTCTCTATTAAGTAAATAAATAAAATCGTTAAAAAAAACCCCCAAAAAACAGTGAGAATCCATGCATATTCATCGTAGGAAAGTGTGTATTCAAGAAGCACTGCTCTTGGGCTGTCACCTAAAACAGATGACAGAATCTTAAAGGAATGATGCATATATCTGGAAAAATGAAAATTAAAACAAAATTAAGGAACACGATGAGCATTTTTCATCAGTTACTCCGGTAATGAATGAGTTGCACTGGGAAAAGTCCTCTGGAAAGTGGTGTTTGTGACAAAGGATGTGGTGCCCAGGTTGAGATCCGCCTTCTCCATCCGGGTCGTCAGGGGAAGTACGTAACAACTACAAGCCCAGTGCTGCTCTGGGCACCTTTCCTCTGCCGCACTCTCTCCTGAGAACTCCCCGCCCCTCAGGGATGCAGGTGCAGGTGCTCAGGAAGGAAATCAGGCTGGGATCAGTGCTGCCCACAGGCAGCAGCTGCTCAGAGGGACAGAGGCCCTTCGTTCATAAACTCATACATTAAGATCTGCTAGCACTGTTTCTTCCAGTTAATTGATACATGATTTATTCTGATAAAAATAAACTTTTCTTGAACCCACACCGTACATCCTGTCACCACACTAATGCGTTCTGGTGTTATTTCTGTAGAGTTGAGAGTCCACCCCCAGCCCCCAACACGCACACTGTTTTTCTCTTTTAGAAAGCTGCCTGCATTACCTTCCCCCAAAGCTGCCGCATGTAATTATGGCAACGCTGAGGCCATTACCGGCAGACTTGGCTCTCCGACACGGAGTGCATTTAATAAGCAGGAATGCCCTCACTTCATATCCAAATGTGATCCGCAGGCAAGTTTTCATGACAAATTACCATTTCATATATAATTCAGCTGGTTAGCAAGTACAAAAGAACTGTATAATTTTCTTCAAAAGACTCATACCTTTTGATCTTCCATCTCTTGTTCTTTTAGTAGACGCTCCAGGTCAGCCATGTCATTGTGCTTAAACAACTTGATGTCACTCCGCGACGCCTGCAGCCCTTTCTGAATGGCAAAGCAAGCAGCTCTATCTCTGCAAGGAAGAGAGACCCACCAAACTGGGGTTTTAAAAGGCCTTGTCAACATTCTCAGAAAAGGAATGCTTGCTTTTTGTAAGCTGGTGAACATCCGCTTGTTAACACAGTAAATCAAGAAAACAAATTTGACGGCTTACACACCACTGGTTGTGCTTCCCTCTGCGTGTGTTTTTCACAGAACTACCATGTTGATTCCTCTCCAAGGAGCACACCCCTCCCGCTTTTACCCTCTCCGAAGTCAGCATGCACGTCCGTTCACCCGCAGCAATTTTCTCTGAGAAACACACACAGCACCCATGATCTCACCCTTGGTGGCGTCTCGGATTTGACCAGCACAGACTCTGCCATTACTTTGCCATGAGGAGTAATACTGCCTGTTGACTCTGGTTCTTGCAGATGAAACTGCAGTAAGATCTTCTAAACTTAGTTAGGGAGGGAATATGCTTTTGAAATTAAGTTGTATTATTTAAAAGTATACGCAAGACTTCTTCCGCAAAGATGGAATAGTCCTATTTTCCTTGTTTTTCTAAGTACAACCCCAAACCCTGGATGTTACATATAAAACGAACATAAGAAGACTGAAAAGTGGAGAGAAGTGACGGGCTGGCTAAGGACCTAAGAAATGACATCTCATGGACTTCCCTGACTTGGAGCTGACGACTCTGGCCAACTCGAAGTGCCAAGGGGCACGGGCAAAAAAGCTCAGAGAAGCCTGGGAAGGGGGCGGCCCAGTAAGTAGAAATGACTCGACTGCAGCAAAACCACAGAAAAGCCTGGGCCCGTCCCCTCCACACCAGCGAGGGTTGAGGGGTGCCGGGATTCTGACCCTCGCGAAGCTGAGAGGCACTCCCACAATGCGGCGGTGGCATCAGAGCAGGGAGCTGGACTTTGATCCCCGAGACGGTAACCAGTGGCCCTCACGGTGGCGTCAGTGAAGACCACGTGGAGAGCCCCTACCTCCGCTCCCCTGCAGTGAGGTGCACCCTCCTTTTCTTGGCTCAGGCTGTATCAGAGGAGGCTCAGGGGAGAGTGGGGCTCTTACTGAAGCCAGCGGAAATGAAAACAGCCCCAGGCTGGTGTCAGTGCAGGCAGAAGGGGGACCCTGGCCGTGTACCTCTACCTGGCAGCAATGAGGCAGTAGTGCCCCTGCCCCTAATGGAAGAGTGACAGAAAAAGCCAACTAAGACGTAAGAAGATATCAAACAGAATGAAAGAAAATAATCAACAAATGCCAATATTGAGTTGACAGATGTCAGGGTTACCTGATAATGACTTTAGAGCAGTCGCGATAGAAATATTTCAGTGAGCACTTATGAACATGCTTGGAAAAAAACAGAAAGCCTCAGCAAAGAAATAGGAGACAAAGAATCTCATGGAGAAACTAGAACTGAAAAACACAAAGACCCAAAGAAAAAGTACAGTGGGTGGGCTCAGCAGCAGGCTGGGAGGGACGGAGGAAAGACTCAGAGAAGTGACAGACGCAACAACAGAAACCAGGCAGTGTAAACCAGCAAGAAACAAACAACGAAGAAAGCACAGAGCCTCAGGGACCTGTGCAGCCACAACAAAGAGCCATGCCGGCCTCAGTGGAGTCTGGAAGGACAGAAGGATGGCAGAGCTGAAAAGGTACTCAAAGAAGTAAGAACTGAAAACGCCTCAAATTTGTAAGAAGCTGAAACCTATAAAGAAGCTGAGTGATATTGATACAGGTAAACCCAAATAAATAAATGCCAAGATTATAGTAAAGCTTCTGAAAACTGACAACAAAAAAATCTTGAAAGCAGCCCCCCTAAAATGACACCTTACATAGAAGAGAAAAAGAATTTCTCATCAGAAACCATGGAGACCAGAAAAAAGTGTCACAGTATACTCCAAATACTTAGAAGAAGAGAACTCTCAACCAAGAATTCTATAACAAGCAAAAAGATCCTTTAGGAGTAGAGGGGAAACCAAGGCATTCTCAGCTAAAGGAAAACCAAGAGAAGATGGCCCCAGCAGACCAGGGGAAAAGGAATGGCTAAAGGAAGCTCTCTACGTAGAAAAAAATAAGTAAAGAAAACAAAAGAAAGAATCTCAGAGTATCAGAAAGGAAGAAAAAACACAGTAAAATGTATGAACAAAAACAGCAGGCTTTTCTTACCTTCCCAAGTTTTCTAAATTATTTTGGATGATTTAAGTAAAAATTGTAACACTGTCTGATGGGGTTTTCAACATATGTGCAGGAAGTACTTAAAACAATTATAAACAAAGAGAGCAGAGAAATGTAAAGGAAGGTAAAGGTTTCTCTGCCTGAATTGGTAAAATGATGAAAACGGCAGAATGTGACAACTTACGTGTATACACAATGTCATATTTAGAGCAATGACTAAAAACAAACAAAGCTATGCAATGAGAAACACTCAAAAACACCATGGAAAAGTAAAAATGGAATTCCAAAACATGTTCACTTAACCCCCAGAAAGGGAGGAAAAAGAAAACAGAAAAACAAAAAAGATAACAAACAAACAAAAAAATGCCCTCACATATCCAATAATTACTCTAAATGTAAATGGCCAAAATACACAGCTTAAAGACAAAGACTGGCAGAATGGATCAAACATAACCCAACAATAACCTGCCTAATAAGAAAATATACAGTAAGATATATAATAATGTAGTAGTAGATGTATATGTAATATATACAATAAATATAGCATGCAAACATTCATCAAGACAAAGCAGAAATGACTATATTAATATCTAATAAAGTAGACTTTGGAACAAAGAAAACTACCAGAGACAGAGAAGAACAGTATACAGTGATAACCAGGATCAATTAACCAAGAAAATATGCACCAAACAACAGCACTACAAAAGGTGAGAAGCAAAAATTAAGATAAGTGAAAGGAAAAAATAGATAAATCACAACTACAGTAACTGTAGAACTACTAGACAGAAAATCAGCAAGGGCATATTAGACCTCAACACACCATCAACTAAGAAGATCTAATTGTCATTTATAAAACAGTCCACTGAGCAATGGCAGAATACTCTTTTTTAAGTGACGAGGGGACATACTCCAACACAGACCACATCATGAGCCATGACACAAACTAGAACAAATTTAAAATCTCCCAACACTTGGAAATTAAACACACTTCTAAATAATTTATGGGTCAAAGAGAGTCTAAAGGAAAATAAAATACACCGAACTAAATGAAAATAAAAATAAACAGATCAAGGTGTATGGGACAAGGCCACCGTAGCGCGTAAGTAGTGCACAGCACTAACACATTAGAAAAGAGGAAAAGTCTCAAGTCAACAATCAAAATTCCCAACTAAAGAATCTAAAAAAAGAAGAGCAAAAAGAAACCAAAAAAGAGCAGAAGGCAGGAAATAACACCAGAAAACGATAGGACTGAAAACAAAAATACAATGGAGAACAATCAATGAAACAAACAGCCAATTCTTTGAAAAGATAAGTAGAATTGACCACCTGTGGCAAAACTGACTTCTAGAAAGAGAGTAGACAGATTCCCACACAGGAATGAAACCTGTTATCACTTCAGGCTCTGCAGACATTAGAAGAATAAAGATATATTACAAAGAACATGACATACAGAAGTTTGACAACTGAGAAGTGAACCAATTCCTTGAAAAACACAAGCCATCTTAACTCATCAATATGACATTGATAATTTGACCAGCCTTGTAAGTACTAAGGAAATTGAATTCATAATTAAAATACTTCCAAAAAATAAATCTCCAGGCCCAGTTGGCTTTACTGGAGAATGCTACCAAACATTCAAGGAATTAACAATAATTTTATACAATTTCTCCAGAAAATACAAGAGGGAATCCCAGCAGATTTTATGGAGTAGTTTCCTGATGCCAAGACCAAACAAAGTCCAAAAAATGTAAACATCACTAGCCATCAGGGAAATAGAAATTAAAATCATAATAAAATCTCTCTACACACCTACCAGAATGGTTAAAATTAAAAAAAATGACAACACCAAATGCTTCTGAGGATGTCAAGAAACTACATCACTTACATACTATTTATGGGAATGTAAAATAGTACAGCCACTCTGGAAAACAGTTTGGCCATTTCTTAAAAAAACTATGCGATGCCATATGACCCAGCAACTGTACTCCTTGACATACACATCCCACAGAAATGAAAACTTAGGTTTAGAGAAAACCTGTACATAAATGTTCACAGCAGCTTTATTTGTTATAGCCCCAAAACTGGAAACAACTCAGATGTCCTTCACAGGTGAGTGGTTCAACCAACTGTGGTGCTTCCATACCATGAAATACGACTCGGCAATCCAAAGCAATGAATACAACATGGATGGATCGCCAGAGAATTAATGCTGAGTGAAAAAAGTGAATCCCCAAATATTACTTACTATATGACTACATTTGTATTAATAATCTTGAAAGGACAACATTACAAAAAGGGAGACTAGCTAGTGGTTGCCAGGGGATACGGAATGGGTAGGGTGGGGGGGACCACACGTGTGGCAACTGAGGGATCCTAGCGGTGATGGAAACGTTCTGTATCTTGACTTTATCCATGTCAAAATCCCAGCTATGAAGTAACCACTGGGGGAGACTGGGCAAAGGGCACACAGAATCTCTGTATTATTTGTCATAAACAGGGACAGATGTAGCATGTGAGCAACCACTGTGCTTTATCACTATTTACTAAAAGGAAGAAATTAAGCCCTAGGCATACTGTCTAGGCCTAATGAATTTATCAAATAATTTACTAAACACCATCATTACCTCTAATGTTCCCATCTCTGAATGAATTCTGGGCAGAATATTTAAAACTACGTGTAAGAGAATAACTAAGCTGCCTAACTGAGTAGCAACTGAACCTCTCCGATGCGGTGAACGGCATGTGGGAGTGAGTGTGGCCCAGGCTTCCCGGCAGTTAAAATGGGGAAGACAATACCGTATTCGTGATCTGGCAAAGGAAGCATACAAGTTCAGCAAAGGCCATGTGTTGGTGCCGCTGGGCTACTGCGGGGCTGTGGGGCAGGACGGGCAGCACCCCCATCCCCGAGCCCAGGCAGAGCCGGCGCTGCGGTGTGTGCTTGAGCTTGCTGCATCGGCAGGAGCCTGCCAGTGAGAGGCAGGAGGCCGGTGCAGGGGCCACGGGAAGCTGGGCTCTGAAGCCCTGTCACTCGGACCCCTCTTCTAAGCACCAATCTCTGTTCATTTATTTACTGAGCTGGTGTTTACTGAGCACAGGTGAATGGCAAATGCTCTCCTACGCAGTAAACTAGGATAAACTGATGAAAATGCAATAAAAGAAGAGCACAGTGAGTGTGAGGCAAGATGAGCAGAGAACAGAGGGGCGCTGTGTGTGTGTGTGTGCACATGCGCGTACGGAAGGCCTGAGAAGCAGAGGGACCTGGACAGGCAGCGTGAGCACCATGAGATCATGGATTCATAAGAATACCAAACTCCTCTGGCCGTGAGATTTTCTCCACACGCAGCAGGGCCTCAGCTTGGTCTGAGAGGTTGGGGAAGGCTTCCCTGCAGAGGCGATATGTGTGCAGGGTGAGCAGAATGAGCGGGCATCAAGTAGGAGAGGAGGAGACTATTCTAGGCACAGGGACTGGCATGTGCAAAGGTCCTAAAACGAGAGGAAACTGGCATACAGGGCCGATGAGGCTACAGCACGAGCACCTGAATGAAAAGCGTACAAAATGAGTCTGAAAAGGTAGTCTAGAACGCAGAAGATTGTAATATGGGCTTGGATCTTTATTTTAGGAATGATGGAAGCTCTTCAGCATGACATAATCAGATTAGCACTTTTTAAAAAGACTGTTCTAAAAAAGGAAAAGAGGAAACAAAAATAAATCTGAGACCTAAAATTCAAAGTCACTTAATGGTCCACTCGAAAGATGACAGAGGCTTGGGCTAGAGGGCGGTGTGTGCGGTGGGTGCAGCCAGCGGCCCAGCCGTGCCAGCCCCACCCCACGTTCCGCTCTTCCTCTCCACAAAAGTGGCCAACGCCACACAGCCTCTACGCGTGGGCACGAGTGTGCAGATTTGCTCGTGGCTTCTATGATCCTAGCAAGCCATGAAGCGAGGTCAGCAGAGACCAGGACTCGGGGTGGGGTGGGGAGCAATGAGGGACTCTGCCAGGCAGTTTGCGTGACCACGTAGGCAGTGACCGTGGACTCTCAAGGAAGGAACTGCAGAGGGAAGGGAGATAACTGGCCTCACCCAGGGTAGGTTTGGCTTTCCCAACATCAATAAATAAAACCAATTAAAAAAAAAAATACTTCAGGCATCTTTCTAGTGAGGTCTCATCAATGCTGCGTAATTACTTCATGGAAGTTACTATGTATTTCTTTAAACAGAAAGTCAGTATTACCTAAGGTAGCTAACCTCTAACAAAGGAAATCTCCAGGAAGATCACCATTACGTCCAAAGGAATTGTGATCAGAAACACAGGTGAAGCTACTCACACGAACACAATGTCCCCTCTCTTAGAGTAGGCAGGGATAGCACTGGCAATGGTGGCAAATCCGTATGAGTAGATAATGGCTTCTTCTGTCTTCATAAACTTCGCTAGGCGGTCTTCCAAATCCAAGTGCACATCTGTAACAAGACGTAAATGGTTAAAACATCTTCTAACTCTTTTTCTTTAAATAAAGAATAAAGAAAATAACGTAAGCAGTTTAGTTAGTACTACTGTCACTTTATGGCCAAAATAAAATTGTTTTGAGTTATAAATTACATGAGATCTGTTCAGATGATTCTCGGCCAAAATGATTTCTCAAACCTGTGAATGGAATCAGCTACTCCTCTGTCCATACAGTGTGTTAGTGGGGCAGCTCCAATTCTGGGTTTTGCTTCTACGTCACTCTAGCATGGCAATACAAGGCCCAGTGACTTTACCTGCTTTAACTTCCCTCAACCAACCACACCGAGGCGTCACCAATGTGTGACACATTAATTTATTAAAGCCTTTTTGCATTCTAGCAGAAGGTACCACACCAGACATGAAGACAATGGTTAGCCAACTCTTAAGAGGAAAACGATGAGTAAAAGAACCCCACATACTCTGCATCAAGCCGGTGCTCCCTTCTCTGATAGCTGTACCAGCACACACCTGGGCACCTGCTCACTCGGCAGCACTGACTTTTCTGTCTGAATTTCCTTTTAGGTGTACTGGGGACTTCAAATGTACAGTACAAGGAGAAATGCAGTATTTTACAGAAGCCCCTTGGGAAGAATGCTGATGTAACAGCGGGAATAGATCGTGCCCGTTAACCTGGTACCTCTCCTTCTCCTATCGGGGTTCCTTACTGCTGCTCACCTTCCCAGGCTCAGCCACGAGGCTGCGCGCCCTGGCAGGGAGGGCCCAGCGATGTCTAGAATAAACAGTGCACAGACCACCTTTGAACCTGAAAACTTCAAAGTGGTCCTAAAATGAGGCACTACCCAGGAGAGAAGAGGACTTTTATTTAATTAATTTATTTATTTTTAAAGGTTTTATTTATTTATTTGACAGAGAGAGACACAGTGAGAGCAGGATCACAAGCAGGGGGAGAGGGAGAGGGAGAAGCAGGCTTCCCGCCGAGCAGGGAGCCCGACGCGGGACTCAATCCCAGGACCCTGGGATCATGACCTGAGCCGAAGGCAGACGCTTAACGACTGAGCCACCCAGGCGCCCCGAGAAGAGGACTTTTCAAACTTCCTTTAGCTCTTTTCACTATAGCAGGACCTAAATCAGATTTCTGCCACATGCCCTGTCAAGGGTCAGGGAAGCATATACATAAAGTGGGCTTTAGTTTATTTTCTGGGTATTGCTGCTCAATTCTCCGATTCCTCACTATAGGTCTCCTGCCATCAAACTGGGGTTCAGCTTAGTTTGCCACCTCTCACTCGGTGGTTAGTTCCCACCCGCGCCCTCAGTTCACAACCAAGTGCTCTCACTCTTTGGTCAGAAATCACGGTGCACGTGTTGTACTTCTGAGTGTAGAACGGGCCAGCAGACCGCAGGCTCGACTTGGCCTCGTCCCTCCGGGCGTGGAGTTCCGGAGTTCTATGCTAGCTGCTACCTGCCTCTCTCAGCTGTGTCGCTTTGTCAGGTGGCACAAACCTGGTCTTTCTCCCTGACCCTGTGCTTATCAGACTACCTGTCTTTACGTGACAGTCACTGCATGTTTGCTTAATAAATGACTAACTGAGAACATTACTGGACTTCCCTCATCTAACTACTTCCTACAATATATTTTTAACAAGTCCGTTCTTCTATTATTACTTGATCGGAATGGGATAAAGAGTTCATTTTCACAATCCTCCAAGACGCGTATACATAAAAGACCAAACATGCTTCTTCCTATTTATAGTTAAAATGTACACCAACATAATCGATTACAAAAAGCACAGGAAGTGCCATTTGATTTCCATTCCCGAAAGGTCACAGTCATTGTACAGAATAACATCAACATTAAATAAGGATGGGATTTTATAGTAACAAAGTTAAAATGACTACATCCCATTTGATCAAAATGGTATCAAAGGGGTGCTTAGGTCTTCAAGCATCAGACCTGTGACATCACCAGCACAGAGGACATGACCCTGACCCTGACTGCCCGCCCTCACCAGCACAGAGGACATGACCCTGACCCTGACTGCCCGCCCTCTGCCACATGCTGCCAGGTTTCGGGGAAAACCGCCCCACGCTGGAGAACTGGGCACCTCCAACTCTGAGCAGGGAGCGCCTGCCCCTTCCTTAGAGCGCTACAGGCAAGTCCCCATCAGCCCCACTTCTGATCGGAATGAGGGCAGGTCCCCCTTCTACAAATGACAATGTGGCCTCTAAATCGGGACTATCTACCCCAAATCTCCATGATTTAGCTAACAGACGGACAATCCGAGCCCCAGAACTGCTCTCATCCAGTATCTCCATTTCAAAAACAAAATACGTGCTATGGACACAAACTATTTTTGTTAACTACGAAAAAGATTTTAAATCATTCTGTAGACTCCACTTTAAAGGGCTCATTTTTTTCACTGATGAGCGATGAGAAAGTAAAACCATCTTGGCTTAATTTCAGGGCTTTAGCGTTAGTTACCCAGTTGATGAAAATGGCATGCTTGAAACATTCTCATTGTTGTACATACTCATAACTGTTTTTACATCACTGCCATAAAGTGGTTAAGAAGAATCTACAGTGAGTCAAATGACTTACTGATTGTTGCCTTTCCCAAAAGTTTAACAAAGACTGGCTTTTTTTCTCCTCGTACCTGAAGACACTGGGTTTTAGCTGAAGGCAGTCTTGCAAAGCAGGTTTTGTGACAGGTAGATAGGGAGAGCTGCATAACTTCTCCTGATGTGTGATAGCTACTCTGTGCAATGAAAAAACTCTCAGCCCAAGCTGGAAGGGGAGGCAGCAAACAGGAAGAGTGCCAGGCCACGTTCTCCTGCTTCTGATGTCTGTCTTCTGTACAGACGACCTGTTCCACTGACTGGCGCCACAGATTCGCACGGAGTGCAAGTGAAGCACCACATCCTATGATTCACTGCTAGGAACAAACTGCAGGGGAGAGGTCACGGAGGGAGGTTTCCCTCCCAGCCATCGTTGCCCTTTCTTGCACCTGTTCTCTAACCAGAACCTAAAAGAAGGGATTCAAGGCCGGTTCAGGATGTCTGGCACCCAGGGTGGGGCCTGGCCACGGCAGTCGTCGCAGGAGGTTCCGGATCTGGCCTCCCGCCTCACCAGGTGTGGACCAGGGCAGGCCTGAAACTGCTCCATGCCTCTCAGGTCCTTCCTCTGTCAAACTGGTAACAGTCAGACCATTCTCAAAGGATTGTTACCAGAACCACAAAAGTCAATGCCTATGAAACACTCAGAGTAACATCTGGCATGGAAAAACCAATACACCGTTTAAGTGTTTGTACAATTAAATCAGTATTTGTAGAATAAAAGGTTTTCTTTTAAAAGGAAAAAAGCAGTTACATTATTTTCTAATTAAGTTGTCTAAATCCCAGATATTTAAGAACTTTATATTACAGTAACTTGTTCATTCAGCTTCCCATTTATATATCTCCTCTTTTATTCTGCTAAGAGGTATTCTGGCTTTCTTGGTTGTCTTCCAAAGGAAAGACTATAAAAGAGTCAACTTTAGAACAGTTTAAAAACAACCAACTACATTTTTTATTAAGGCTTCTATATTTTGTGTTATATACTGTTTTCTTTTTAATCCCTTGAGACTCCGACAACTTTTCTTAAAAGTACCAATAATATCACTTATGCACTCATTAGAACATAAATACAGGGCTGAATGCTTTCCAAAATGTTTTTAAGTACAGCATCTTATGTGATTCTTGCCAAAATGCTATAAGCTGTGCAAACAAGGACTGTCCCCCTCCTACACTGCAAAAACAATCCCATGACCGGTAAGTAGTGGCAGATCTAGAACCTTTATGACCAAACGTTCTTCCTAATAAGATATGCAGTCATGATTCAGTTGACTGCTCTAAAAGAAAGAAAGAATATATTTTGAAAAATAAACAACTGAACAATTTACTTTTTACTAATGGCTCTTGAACACAATTAAATGCCACTATCCCTCACCATGAAATCCTGCCACTGACTAAATTCTGATTTAGTTTAAGAACAAGAAGTCAAGTAGGGCATTGTACATGCAAAGTGCATCCTGGGAAACCAGTGATAAACCTCAAGCAAAAGAGATCTGAATGTATTCAAAGAAAACAAAGAAGTTGGATTAGAGAAAGCATCAAAGTGCATAGAGGAAAGTACGCTCTCTAACCTGACAAATCCACTCGCTCCGTTCTCAAACACACATTCTAACAATAAAATGAGAAGGTGGAAAAACTCCTAACCATATAGTCCTTACAAGATTATCAGAAGAACTTGTGAATTTCTACTTAGCAAAGGCAGGAGAACATTCAGCCTAAGAAACTAGACAAATTTTAACTCAACCATTGTTTGACTTCTTCTGTATTAATCATCTTATGTCAGGGCGCCTGGGTGGCTCAGATGGTTGGGCGTCTGCCTTCGGCTTGGGTCATGATCTCGGGGTCCTGGGATCGAGACCCACATCGGGCTCCCTGCTCCTTGGGAGCCTGCTTCTCCCTCTGCCTCTCTCTC